AGGTGTGGGGCCAGGTGTGGGGCCAGGTGTGGGGCCAGGTGTGGGGCTCTAATGCTGCCATATAAATACACCAGAAACTGGAGAGAAGATGTGGAGCATGTATGTGAGCCTTACATGTCATGTAGACTGTGTGCATACATACCAGACACCTTACATTTGCTATCAAATTAACATATTTAGGCTCAGGATCCTTCTTGGTTCAAACCCCGGTCCAGGGGCCTTTCTGGGTGGAGTTTGCATGTTCTCTCCGTGCTGCGTGGGTTTTCTCCGGGTGCTCCGGTTTCTTCCCACAGACCAAAAACATGCATGTTAGGCTGATTGGTAACTCTAAATTGTCCCTAGGTGTGAGAGAGAGAGTGAATGGTTGTTTGTCTCGTTTGTCTCTATGTGTCCCTGTGATGGACTTGCGTCCTGTCCAGGGTGTACCCCGCCCCTCACACAGTGATTGCTGGACATGGGCACCGGCGACCCCCATGACCCAAAATGAAAGAAGCGGGTAAAAGATAATGGATGGATGGATGGATGGATGGGAGAAAAACATCTGCAAAATAAGAAAAAGAATATCAGTATCAGTCAATGAAAAAACAAATCGGCTGACCTTTACTCAAGTGTTTTCTAAAACTATCCCCTTTTTCCGTATTTTTAATGTACCATGTATTGGATATTTTTTTACATTTAAATAAAGTGACAATAGCCTGTTGGACCTCAAATTAATTGCTGTAATAAAAAGTGTTTGCTTTATTTAGAGCTGTTTTTGTCTCATTAAAGTGATACAGTTAAAGGTTGACATGATTTTATGACCTCATCTTATTCAAAAAGTTGTGTTTGGGCTGCCCACATGAAAACACAAGGATGGTGTTTCAAGATGTCCTTACTCTGGAAGTCTTTTTTTAAGTGATCTGTTTCTGTGTAGTTTGAACGCTGGAACAACAATAAAAAAGCATATTCACAAAAATGGTTTCCGTCTGGACCGGGCCTGAAAGAAGCATCACTGACCTGTAGCAGTTCGAAGGCAGCCAGTAGGTCTCCTCCTGATTGGTTGCCACAGTGGAGAGGGCTGTACTGCAGCATGGGGGGCGTGTAGGCTGCAGAGGACAGGCGCACCTCGGGGACGGCCACTGTGGACCCCAGATACTCAGCTTTTCCCTACATGCACCACAAGGTGGGAGAGAGTTTTGGACTAAAATCATTATAATAAAATCATAAATAAAACTACAAATCATCCCGGACGAGCCCCCAAAGGCCGAGGTTGTGTAGAGGTAGGGCAGCCGACTTGGGATCAGAAAGTTGCAGGTTCAACTCCATGCCATGTTCATATGTCATGGTGTCCTTGAGCAAGGCACTTAATCCCTAATTGTTCCTCGAGCACTTACATAGCTGCCCACTGCTCCACCTGGGTGTATCTCAGGTGTGACGGGTTAAATGCAGAGAACTAATTTAATCTTTGTATAGAAACATACAATTATGACAACACGTAGCACTTTACTTTAAGGTGCAGCCATTTTGTCTTATTGTTTGTTTATTGTATATGTTAATTGGTGACTGCATAGTATATGCCCTCAAGATGATATGTGAAATGTAAAATACTTCTATCTCTTATCCTGATGCATGCTCAATAATCCAGGTAGAAAAATCTAAAAAAGTTAAATCTGGTCCTCTGGACATTTGAATGTCCAGAGGACCAGATTTAACTTCTATTTTCAGTAATCTTTGATTATGATGTCGAAAGCACAACAGAGAACATCAAATGAGACCAATGAAACTTTTGTTGAGGAACCTGTGACCAAGAAAAAATGTTGGGTATCTGATTTGAGTTCATGTATTTTCTGAAATTGGCCCTTAGTTTGAAAAAGGTTTTAATTTTGGCACCCTTTTGTAAGTGAGTTTGACACCCCTCAGTGTAGAGGTCCCTGAAGAAAACAAAAACTCACTGTTGGATTTGTTTGAAACTCACAGAAAATAATCATCAGATACTGTAAATGTCTAGAACTGATTAACATTTGGAGCCATTTTGATTCAAGATGGCTGCCACAGCTACCTCAGCAAACACAAAATTGACTATAACTCGTCATTCTTTGAGATATTGAGCTGAAATTAAGTACAACTATAGTTGTGAGCAGCTGTTATACACTCTTAATGAAAATCAAATATCCAAGATAGCCACCTTAGCTAAAAAAGAAAAATTATGATAACTGACATTTTTTAAAGATATTGATCTGAAATTTGGCGTATTGCAGTCCTCGTGCACCCCTGGGGGGTCCGGGGCGATGCCGGGGGCACATGTGATCCCAGGGAACATGCTTTTTTGCCGCAGGGAGTAGGTTTTTGTTCACCATTCTCCTTTTGTTGTGTGCGTTCCAGCAGCTCGTATCGCTCAACTTACTAATAATAAAGTTATGAACAAATTTGACTGCCTTGTCATTTTGGGAGCCATGCATGAACCGTGTCCCCCCCCCCCCCCCACACACACACACACACACACACACTGCTGACATGATAAATAAAAAACTCTGACACCTCCGCTGCTGTTTTTATGACGCTCTGGACGTCACTCACAGACACATACAACAAAGAGTAAACTCAAAGCGAGAGCAACACCTGCCCCCTCTTTCCTCTTTCGCCTTGACAAAATGTTTTAGTTTTATCCATGAGTTTGTCAAAGAACAATTTATTATTATTTTTTTTTTATAAATACAGACGTAATGTTTAATAAATGTTAGGACTCTATTCTTTGCTAACAAAATATATTCACCTCCTCAGTGAAGCTGCTGATTTTATGACGTCACTCACAGCACGGAGGCGACAAAGAGTAAACTCGAAGTGAGAGGGTTACCTGCTTCTCTTTCTTCTTTCACGTTGACACGATTTTTTAGTTTTATCGATGAGTGTGCTCATTGATCCTGACTTCCTCAATTTGATTTTTTTTAAAAATCTGCACAAATTGTTTTATTCATTTTTGTTTTGTAGGTCAAAGTGTTTTATTTAACACTCCTGAGTTCAAATGTTGCTGATCAATTTGAATTTATTATTATTTATTGATTATATTTAATTTTATTTTTCAGTAACAAATGGTCAAAAATGTTTACAGTTTAAATAAGGATCGATTTTTTTTTTATTTCAGGCAAACTGATGCACTTTAAGTCGTTTCTGTTACAGACTAAAAATAATGTTAATAAAGTTATTCTTTGTTGTAAGTTGATCTATATTCTTTTTTTTCTTTAATGTTATTAAGGACACAATGTTATGCAGAGCTGTACTTATAATGAGTTTATAGACAAATTACACTATTTACAGTCGCAGTGGAGAGTTGGGGGGGGGGGGGGGTGCACGAAATGTTTCCTTCTTCCTAGGGGGCGTAACAGAAATAATTGAGAAGCACCTGCATATTGATAGATTGATAGGTGAGAATGATCCCTAATACTCTGACTGAAAATTCAAGATGGCTGCCTAAGCAAAAAAGGAAAAATGCTATAAATCAGTGACAACAAAAAAGGTTGAATCATGTCATCTGGACTTTTCGCCCCTCATCCAAGAGGCTTCGTCGGTCTGAGGCCTAGCCATCTGGTATTACCCAGAAGCCACCCTGACTCT